ATTTTAAAATATGGAAGCAGGTGCAGCATTTTAAAGCTTTAAAACACTCAATTCGGACGCATTTTTAGGGCTATGATTTTTATCAGAGTGCATCATGCGCCAGCGGTCCTGCCACCACGTGGCCGAGGCGCAAAGCTACCGCCTCGCCTGACCTTTAAGATGAAAGTATGGTGTGCACATGTGTTGCACGCACCTCGGGCATCGAGAGGCAGGACCACTGGCGCACAGGCGCTCTCCAAAAAGAAACCGAAACCCGGAAATGCATCAAAATTGAAGATGTTTTCGGAACGCCGAAAAACACTGAACCTCCATTACATCTTTCTTAAGTGATCTGATTTAATGGTGTTCCATGTTGCTCACCATAATTCCAATTGGAAACATAAGTATAGCTTCAGTTATTCAAAGCTGATTAGTAAAATTTGGATCACAATTTAGCAATGTATTTTTTTTAAATTCTTGAATGGAAGTTTGTTCCCAGAAATAGATTATTTTTTCTCAATCTCCCTATTTTTAGCGATTTATTGAAGTCTTCCCTGAGACACCCGGTATATAAGTAGCACGGAATTAGTAATATCACTTCAACCTTAATAATTTGCTAACAATTTTAGAACTTGTTTAGAAGTTTCTAGTTATTTAACAAAGACAATCAAATGTAACTTGCAGCTGTTAGAAACTTCCAGTACATTTTTATAAAATGGATGTCTTGCCAATCAACACGAGTTCGAAAAGAATACTCTTAGATCGCGCTTCTTAAATTTTCTCCTAATTTACATCTTAACGCACATACAGCAGTAAAAAGGGGTAGCTATGTTTAATAATTTCGGTAGGATAGTTCATGCAGTACTACACGAACGAATATTTCTATATGTGCAACTTTAAATTGACACATACACGTTAACTAGAAATTTACCTTTATACGAAAAAGAATTCAACCTGTTAGGACAAACGATTGTCTTCTCTCTCATATTCTCGTGATCTCTACTTCACCTCAGTAAGTCTATTATGATCTGTACTCTGTTTCTTGTAAAAGCCGTATAAAGTAAGGTTTTACAGCTTTTTAAATGAAACTTGAAGGTTTCATGAAGTTCGTTTTTGCAACTCACCTACAAATGGCAATGATAAACGTAGGCATTTATAGCTAGCTGAAGTTCATTATTAATCTCTTAATTACCGTAGTGAAGTTACTGTTTATAGTGAACCTATTAGGACAGTCATATTCCACGGCTGTTCCATTTTATAATAATTATTGTAACCAACCTGTGTTCTGAGAAATCTGTCTGTAAAGTTGGCAATAAATGCGTCTAATTGTGCTATCAAATCTGCGAAGATCGGCACGAAACCCAATTCCGATGTGATCTAAGACGTTGGTATGACATTCATAAGACAATGGCGCAGAGTTGATAAAGAAAAAATTTTTTTTTCGCAAGTTGAAAGCGAGAGGGCACCTTATTTGGTTTTCTAGGTATTTAAATAAATCTGAACATCTGAAACTTTGACTCTGCCAGAATTTTGTATACTTTAATATTCAGCGTAATTGTCTTCTTAGAACATTGTGAGCGAGTTACTAAAGTTTGGGCGAAGGAAAACTTCAACAAATATTAAATTAAAAAGGCACAATAGTAAAACAAATCATGTTATCTGTGGTTTTTGGTATTTTTTGTGTAAAACCAACAGAACCGTTGAGACAACCTTATTTGCAGTGCCATTAGTGAGTTTGGGGCCTCCACATATCAGAGTAAGTATTGTTCCTCAAAATGCTCTGCAGAGAATTACAGACGTTTTTATAATTGTAATCTTTTGCTCGGTTTTCTTTTAGAGAAAATGGTGATTAAATTGATTGTCTTATAAGCGAAAAAACTAAAATACGCCACTACCAATTTATTTCAATTCAATTCAGTTTGTTTTTACACCCTGTGTACAAAATGGGTGCAAAAGCAGAGTGGAAAATTTTGCACTGATGTAGCTTGACAGCCCCCCCCCCCCTTATTTTTTCAGCTTGGCTGGAAAGAAAAGTAAACAATATTTAAGCACGAATTATTTAGTTATATACAAGAAATAATACGCAGCTGGAGAAAAGTTAGTACACCACCTTTCTTTTTGCAAGTTCAATGTGACCGCCTTGCTTGTCTAAGAAGTTGAATACTGGTGCTAGTGTTTGCGTAAACCTCTCTATGCCGCTGCGCACATCGTATGTAATATTTTGTGTCAGTTAGGTCAACAGTTCGTTGCAAGGAATTTGTAAATTTAAGAAATGGCGCATACAGTGTACCTGTTGGTATTTGTAATTTTTTTTGTAGATTTATAATTATGGAAGTGTTGTTTGGTGTGCGAGTAATATGAAGCCTTGGCTGGGTTACGATAGGTTTTTCTGCAAAATCAAGTTTACATCAAAATACGCAATTTTTTTCTTTTGTGGGCTTTTCCAGCACATCTCCTTTTATGCGAAATTGGAAGTAGAAGTAGCTTCTATAACAACTTCTACCCAACTCAAAAATAGTTTTGTTTCCAATGGGATCGATTCGAAACGAACAAAGATAGCTCATAAAATTATCCATTTTGGGTAGCGTTCTTCCTTAAAAACTGCCGGCTCTTTTATTTAAAGAAATAATCATGCGTATTTTGTTATTTATTGATACAGTTGTGCATACTGAACAAAACACTTACAAATATTCGTCTGTTACCAATAATAGAACATTACAGGACCATTTCTTTTTACCGAGAAAGACTACAAGTAAAATAAAATAGAATTGTGCTTTACACTACTCGCTCGACGCT